GGATCAAATTTTGCAGTGAGACCTTCATGCGATTGACCAAGACTTTGGTAAAGATCTTATACACGACGTTGAGGAGGCTGATGGGTCGGAACTGGCGAATCGTAGAGACATGCTCCACCTTAAGAATGAGCACAAGGAGCGTTTTATTCAGCTCCCATGGCACTACGCCATCCTGCCACATGGAGCGTATCATAGCCCGAACCGAATGGCCCACCGTGTCCCAGTGTTGCTTAAAGAACAAGGCGTTCAAGCCATCCATACCCGGGGCCTTCAAGGACCCCATGCTGAAAATGGCCGAGTGGATTTCCTCGTCTGAAATAGCCGCATCCAAGTCCCCCATCACTGACAAGTCGGGAGTAGGAAAGAGGTTGGGCAGGGCCACAGAGGCTGGGTCTGGCGGCCCTGCTGTATAAATCCCATGAAAGAAAGTCCTCGCATGGTCTTGGAGCGCCGTGGCATCAGACACAAGGTTGCCCTCCTCATCAAGAAGCTCAGTGACCCGATTGCGCCGACAACGTTGCTTGAGTTGTCTATGAAAGTAAGAGGTATTCTGGTACCCCAAATTCAGCCAATCGCGCGTGGATTTCTGCAGAAGCAACAGCTTCTCTTGCGTTATCACATCATCGAGCTCGAGGCGAAGCTGTCTCTCCAAGGTCACCAAACTCTCCTTTAAATAGAACTGACGACTTCTCTGAATGCCCGCGAGGTGGGCCAGTAGCTTCTTTTTTCGGCTAAAAATGTTACCAAACACCGAAAAATTCCACTCCCGCGCCGCGTCTCTGAACTGAGTTGCGGCGTCCACGAAAGAAAGGGTCGAGTCCCATGAGGTCTGAAGCATCTCCGAAAAGCCCGGATGGAGGTGCCAGGCAGCAAGGAAGCGAAAAGGTTTCACACCACTGTGATGGAGCTCAGTGACCCCGAACCCAAGAAATAGCGGCGAATGGTCCGAGTGGAGGCGCGGCAGAAGGCGAACCCGACTCCCCTCAAACGACTCCATCCACTCCACGTTAGCCACGAACCGATCCAGGCGTTCAGAGACACGACCATGTAGGCCTTCACGCGTCCAGGTGAAAAGGTGGTCGTCCGTGACAACCTCCTGCAGCAAAAGTGAGAAGAACCCAACTTTCTCTGAGCGGCGCAAGAGACAGTTAGTCCCCACCTATGAGCCATGGGCCGGATACCTAGGACGCCAAATGAGCTAAGTCCACCCATAAGGACCGACGTAACCGGGCATTGGGGCTGGCATAGACAAACGACACCAAACTCACGACACCATGCTTGGCAACCCGGGCATGCACAAATTGAGAAGAGAACTGCAGCACTTCGAGGCACACATCATCCGTCCACAAAAGCCAAATGCCCCCGGAGAAGCCCCGAGCTTCAACAAGGAAAGAATTAGCAAATTGACTACGCTTAACAAACTTATCGGGCTGGGCTACACTACACTACAACTAGTTTTAAACAAACTTGAGTTCAACTAACTTATTACAAGTCAATCGAGGTTTAGCTTAATTAATCAAGTTTTAATCCAATCTGAGTTCAACTAATTTATTACAGAAGTCAATCGAGGTTTACCTTAATCAGGTTTTACACCAACCTCCTGAATTCAACTAATTTATTACAGAAGTCGATCGAGCCTAAACATGAACAAATACACTCACAAATCAACTCATTTGGTTTAAGGATATTATTAGCACTTCTCTCAGTACTCAGTCTTAAGGTGACAAAAGAAATCACACAATTTGACTCAAAATTCAAAGCATTAAGAAATCGCCAATTGATTCATTACGAAACAGATGAATATCCTTTACAACACCCTAGGATAAACCACAATACCAAACAGCAGAAAAAAGACGATCAATCACTTGCTCAAATCAGAAACCCTAATTTCAAACTACCAACACAAATTAAAAAACCAATTCAAGAGCTGGTGAATTTGGTGACAGCCTTCGTCCCCTCCGACACGGCGTGCTTGGCCAGCTCCCCTGGAAGCACCAGCCTCACGGCGGTCTGGATCTCCCGGGAGGTGATGGTCGGCTTCTTGTTGTACCGAGCAAGCCGCGACGCCTCCTGTGCGAGCTTCTCAAAGATGTCGTTGATGAAGCTGTTCATGATGCCCATGGCCTTGCTCGAGATCCCGATGTCCGGGTGGACTTGTTTGAGCACCTTGAAGATGTAGATCTTGTACGTCTCGACGCTCTTCTTCGCCCTCTTCTTTTTCTTGTCGCCAGCGGCGCCGCCACCTTCCTTTGGGAGCTTCTTCCCGGCTTTCGGTTTCTTCTCCGCCGGGGCCTTCTCGGCGGCCGGCTTCTTCTCGGCGGGCTTTTTCTCGGCCTTGGGTGCCATCTTTCTGTGTGAGTGTGAGTGGGTGCGAGATAGAAGAGAGAGAGAGAGTTGTACAAAATGCTGAGATGTGGGATGATTGACCTGAGGCATGTGGAGATATATATATCGAGTTAGTTCTGAAATCTGATTGGTTGATGTTGTGGGGCGCGGATCGTGAATATTGAGCGTCGATTATGATTTTCTTAATGGACGGTGAGGATTGGATAATAGGGGCGCCCTTTTTCATTCTCGTGGCTGGGCTTCGGATTTTTTTATGTCTTTGAAAAAATTTGGTTTGGCGCCCGTAATGTGATGATGGAAAGGTCTATAGTACATGATTAAATATTTAAATATTAATTAACATTTATACAATTAAAATATAGGATTATTTCAAACAACAATAACATTTTACAATTAATTATCGACTATGATAATTAAGAGTCTGTTCTTTTCTTTCATATATAGTTTTTTCAAGTATCTTCATCTTTATAAAATTTCACAACTTTTTAAATACAAATTAATTGTATAAACAAATAAATTTTATAGTTTCATGAACTATATTGAATGTTTTATTTTTTTTATATAACTAATTAATTTTTTCCATTTATATCTTTTGTTTTTCAACGTCATAATAAAATTAAACTTCTTTAGATGCTTTATTTAAGGTAAAAGATATTGTTATAGAGATTTTTATTATATTTATTTTATATTTGTGATTAATTCACATTTTATCCAAATTTATCAAAAAATACAGAAGAATAATTATAAGATAGCATATTGATATAACTACTTTTTATGACTTCATAAGATAAATTATAGTTTTATAGGATATTTATATATTTTTGTTTGGTACATATACTCAAATTTATAAAGATCCTTCTTTATCATGACTGCGTTGGATAGTCACTTGGGGCATCGGTTTGATATTTCCGGCTTCTAGCAATTTCCAATGTCTTTTTCAATAACAACATCCAACACTATGCCAAAATGTCTACGCTTCTATTTGACAGATTTGACAGCCTTGTTGATGTTTAAACGATGCACTGTCAGGTCCGCATCGATGCATGTAAGCTCGTCGGAGTTAAAAGCAAATACATCCACAAATTCCCTAAAAAATTGAATTAACTCTTATAGTATGTTAGCGGTAGGTCTCGACCCGTGTTGTCGTATAAACTTCACCTTCTATCAGCTCAATCTCAATAAGCTCGTCGTGCGTGGTTAGGTCTAATTTTGCTTGCTTCTTCGGTCTAATTTTGCTTGCTTCTTCGCTATATTGAACATGATATATGTCTTTCTCTTCCCTCCTTGTCCAGCTCGCATGTTGACTGATAGTATACCCTCATCGCCTTCTGGATTCCTGCGATTTTGTCGCCTTTCGATTTCCTGCATCTCTCCAACCTCATCGCCAATGAGAAATTTTACCTTTATACAGTACGTCGACATTGTTGCTCGAAACCTGATAAATATCACATTGTATGTCGACTCGGTCTTCACAATTTGAAACCTTATCATTTTTATTTGTTTGAGGGTTGACGTCCCCAAGTCCAGCGGTTGCGTCGCTTTCCCCAGAGGAACCACCTCGGAGCAACAAAACCCATATAAATCGGTTTGTACGAGCTATAGTTAAACCCTCAGGTCCATCTTGTCAAAGTAGTGGGTGAATATGATGTCGACCAAGCTTCCAATATCCAAAAACACCCTTTTTGCCATCGTAATTAATTATCTCGACCGTAATAACTAAGGCGTCATTATGTTGTGAAGAAACTTCTCGCAAGTCGGATGGCCCGAACTGCATAACCGGCACCTCCTCTAAGACCTGGACATTCTCAATCGTGTCTTTATACCTACGGCCAGCGCGTGCCTCTTCCCAACTTGATTCGAGTCTCTAAGTCTCAGTCCCCTAACGATCATGTGTATAATCCACTTCTTGTGATGAAGAAGCTCATCTCGGCCCTCCCAACCTCTTTTATCAACTTTTTTTTTCTATCCTTTTCGGGCTCCCCTGTCCCTAAGGACGATTTATTTCAAGTGCCCAACTTGTATTAACCTTTTGATCCCATCTCCAAGATTCTTGCAATTGTTTGTCGTGTACATGTAATACTAATGGTAACGATAGTATGCTTAAGGTTGACCAAGTGGGTCCCCGTTTATTTTCAAAAAGGGCATGGGTCGATCCAACAACCCGAGATTGTCTATTCTTTCTATGTCCTCAAAAACATGTATTCGGATCGTTGCCAAGGGAGTATATATATCAAACATCTGGGCCATGTTTCTAGCCTTTTTCCTCCACTTATCTTCCATCTCGACCCGACCTCTTCTCTTCCGGTCGACATCTTTCCCCAGGCTTCATGTCTTTCTTCTGTTTTGCGTCAAGCTACAAAAAAATATGTTATTGCCTTTTCTAGTTGATTTATTTGGAACACCTTTCCAAGAGTTCTTCATATCACATGGTAGGTGAGTTGGCCAACAAATTTTGTAAGGGACTGACTCGTAGTTTCCTAATGAGTCCTATTTTCTTGACGTGTTCTAAGGTTGAAGGCATCTCAATGTCTCTTCTTCTCAGTGTTGCATATATTGAGCGCCAGTTATGTCTTTTCATACTTACGTGCACTCGAGAACTTGTTAACAAACATTAAGTTGAATCTCTGGAAGTTCGGTACCGATCCACGCGCAAAGTTGATGGAACCAGTCCTGTGCGGGTCTTTTCACCGTAGCCAAGAAAACCCAACAACACGCTGGGTCGTTGTATTTGTGTAGCACGACCAAGTTTTCAAAACTCCTTAGATGTCCTGTCGGGTCTGTAGGTCCATCATAAGACAGGGTTAGCTCCCGGAACTCATGTGGTAGGTCTCTGTCCAACAACTCATAAGCAAATGGGTGGCCATATAGTCAAGGGTCCACGTCGCCCCTCAATCTTTCTCTTGAGCTCACGTACCTGAGAAACCATGTGCTCCAGGATGAGATGATCGATCCCTCCTGCTAGCATCCTTGTGCCTCTCCAGGCCACATATCTCTGTAGGTCGGGATGTGATCTCGGTGCCGTCGGGACGTGTTGGGTGTGTGCCACTACTGCCTACAGGATCATCATCTCAAGATCAGATCGCGTGACCCGGATAAAAAAGTCTTCTAGAGCCTTAGGTTGGGTATCTGAACCAACAGAAAACACTTAATGTGTTTGACCAAAGGTACCCCACTTCCTTCAGCGACCTTAAGATGCAACGTGACTCGTGGCCTTAGTGAGATGGGTTCTCCGTCAATGCACCTTTCTGATTAAGCTCCAATTAGGGTCGGGTCGGAATCACCTAGAGACATGGGACCACATTAATGGGAGTCCTCGGTGATTTGTTACTGGCGAGCCACCTAGGGGTGGTCCCAAGGCCATGTCTAAAACCACCCGTCATCACCACATCTCTCTCCATTAGACGTTTCTAGCTCTGCCATGATGTAGACAAAGGTCTTGTACAATTTGTGTACGAATGCAACCATATTTCAGCTTTGGTAGAACTAGATTTTCCACCGACAACCAATTTGCTAGAGAACTACCAAATAACTTCGATTTTTTAGTGACAAGTTCACTCTAAATCTCCTGGTTAAGGAGCCTGATTACCCGATTGTCTGTGATAAAACTGGTGATCTTTAAAACAAGGGATGAAATGTATTCTTGGCGTTAGCACTCCGACGATCAAATTAGTACCAAAAGAGATATGTATATAATTAATGCTTACGATTTTTCTTTTTATCAAGAGAAAAAAGAAACGTACCGAATCATACCTCACCCCTATGAATATCGTAGTCACCTTGATGTCCAATTAACTGTGTGTTTTAGTGCCCAAAATTCTAGAGAAATAACACAAGTCTAGAAAGTATGTGATGTTGCTTTAAATTTCTCCCTTCGATTTAGTTTATACTTAGGTTCTTTCCAACTCCTACTCAAGTTATGATCCCTATAATATATTATTATGGAGTTAAAGCACTTGAGAAATCACTAATATTGGTATAAAATGAGAGCAAATGTAGTGGATTGGATGAAGAAATAAAATTTGACCTATATCGTTGTTGTTCCTCCCATCCCATTATTCTTGTAAAATTTAATCTTTGATTCTTGATGTATGAGTTGAATGAATCTCCTGTTCATGCATTTACTTTCGATGCTTGTAAATTTGAGTGCAAAATTTATCCATTTGAGCTACCTGGTTAGTTATTGTTTTCAATATTTCATAATATAAACAAATTTGTTTTCTGAATCATAATTAGAGCATCCACAATGCATAAGGTCTCTTATAAAATTGTCATGCCATGTAAAAATTAGGCTTAATCTATCAAAAAAGTCTCCCAATGCATATAAATTTGGACATAGTCTAGCTTATGTGGCAATAAAAAAAAATAGACCAAGTCCACCATTGGGTTTATTTTCGACCCAAGCATAAACCTGACTAGTCATCAATCATTCACAATTTTTGCATAAACCTAGCATTTTGTTTTTGCATTGTAAAGTTTTTGGGTTTTTTCACTTGAGTTTGTCCATTTTTATTTTATTTTTCTATCTCAACGACATTAGGAGGAGCATTTATGGAATTAGTGATGCAAGATATGTGTCACTCAAAAAATTAGTTTTATGTTGGACCTTAAGGTGTGTTTGTATACAAATTTTCTCAATCCCATTCTCAATTCATACTCATATTTTAATTTAATTTTAACTCAATTTCACTATTCTCCATTATTAATATACTCAAATAAATAATATCAACCAATCCTTCTTAGCATCACATCAACTTTAATTTATTTTCATTCATTTACATAATTTTAACTAACTATTAACTTTACATTATATCTTATATTTTTATATTAAATCAACTTTAATTATTTTGTTTTAATATTATCTTAATATAAAATCAAAACCTCACTAACAACTAGTAATGCCACTTTTTTCAAAAATTAAATATGGTTAACAAAAAAACTCATTTTGAGCGGATATATTTATATACAATAATTCAACTTCGAGTATCCCGTGCAATTTAAGAAATAATACGATCAATTGATATCATTAATATAATTAAATAATATCAATCAATCATCATCAAAAGTTACATTAATTTTTAATCCATCATTCATCAACTTAATTACCATTCTCCTACTTCTACATCTTATCAACTCAAAATCTTATTCAAACCTAACTCAATCATATTTTTCAAAATTAACTCGAGTTAGCCAACAAATCCGACCAAGACCAAAATAACTTGTATTCAGTCACCCATTCATAACATGAACATCACAATCTAGCAAAGAACAATCCCCCAAGTAGGTCTATATACACTACACATTTTCACTGTAACTCCACATTAATTTCAGAATCTCTAGACCACCAAACTGCATAAATAGACAGATTCAGAATGTGCCTCAAAATCTTAACATCAACAAACAGCATATAAAGATTAAAGACAGCTTTATAAACTGCCTAGACAGTCGGAACCACTTCGCTCAAGGATCACACACACACCCCGACTCTCTCAAGAATCCACCAAAAGATAACATATCAAATAATTTCAGCAGATAAGAGCTCTCAACCAAAGATATTCAATCATTTCTGAACAGCCCCAGCCCCATCAGAACAAATTATATACATCATAAGTTCACAACACCTCATGAGTTTAATTCAGTAAATAAATCGATCTCCTTGCAGGTTCATATATGAACCATTATTACATAACTACTTGGCTATTACAAGAGTATGACCCCATCAAAATGAAATCCCATTCCTAAGAATCAGTCAGCAGATAATGAAGTTTCGGTATTTCCCTATCACACGGCCCCCTCGCAGATGCTTCAGACATCAAATATCACAATTGAAACACAGAAAAAAAAAAATGGATAATCTTTTTGGTATCATTAGAAGAACCAATATCAATATGCCATGAAACTTGGGATATAAGAAGAGCCACATAACCTTGAGATAGTTGCACACATAAGTGATTCAGCTCAATAAGACATAAAGATGTGCCCTTTTTCATCACACAAGAATTTTTAAAACCTAGGAGACATTCACCAACTAATAAAATTCATCACATAATAGTCCCTACTAAGGCAGTTGAACAAGAAAATGCAAGCATAAGAAAATAATTAGAACACTAACAATCAACTCACGAAAGTGATGGGATTGAAAATCAAATTGCAGAAAACTAAGAAGTTCCACTCATGGATGTCATAGGCAATTCATTCAACAAACATTAAAAAGAAAAAAAAGAAACGTTTTTACAACCAACAATCCTAATAAAAGATCAACTCAGATGATAGATTCAGGAGATACGAAAAGAACAAAACCCTAGGGCTTCCCTTCAAGAGCTAGTGAACTTCGTCACGGCTTTTGTCCCCTCCGACACGGCATGCTTCGCCAGCTCGCCGGGCAGCACGAGCCTCACAGCGGTCTGAATCTCCCGGGAGGTGATGGTCGGCTTCTTGTTGTACCTTGCAAGCCGCGATGCCTCCTGGGCCAGCTTCTCGAAGATGTCGTTGATGAAGCTGTTCATGATGCCCATGGCCTTGCTCGAGATCCCGATGTCCGGGTGGACCTGCTTCAGCACCTTGAAGATGTAGATCTTGTAC